AGCTGCTATTTGCTTTTCTTGAAAAGTATTTTGCTTTATGAATGTACAATATTGTGGAGACTGGGAAAAGCTGATAATCTGGAAAAGCTCTTGCTGCCACGTTTGGGAACTGGGATATTTTCTGTGTTATATGTAGAGAAATGATGCACATTATTTTGAAAATGGTCCTCAGTTCAACTCTTGTTGTTCCTCTTGTTTACACTTTTCTGTGCCCTTTGCTATGGTTTTCCCAAGACCATCTCTAAGACCATCCTCCCTTCTTTACTCTTGGGTTCAAGTAGTTAGTGCAAGAAGCATGATAGCAGTGTTCCAATATTTAAGGGGCTGCCACAGAGAGGAGGTGGTCAAGCTATTTTCCAAGGCACCCAAAGGCCAGATAAGGAATAATTGATGGAAACTGATCAACGAGAGATTCAACCTAGAAATAAGGAGACATTTTCTGACAGTGAGAACAATCAACCAATGGAACAGCTTGCCTTCGGAAGTTGTGGGAGCTTCATCACTGGAGGCTTTCAAGGAGAGATTGGACTGCCATTTGTCAGAAATGGTGTAGGGTCTCATGCTTGGGCGGGGGGGTTGGACCTATCAGGTCCCTTCCAACTCTGTTAATCTGTAAGTCTGATTGCCATCACAAAATCGCAAAATATTAATTAATATTTTATTAACAATGAAAATAACCATGGAGAATTGGTTGATGTCATCTCCAAAACAATGTGATACTTTCTATCTTATACAACAAAATGGAAGTTAGGAAATATCTAAATTATTTACATGTTCTTTATTTGAAAATTTTAAACTTAAAAATAATCTGCTTTCAAGAAAGTGCTTAAAATGTATCAAGCATTTTAACTCGTATTTTTGACAGTTGCAACATCCCAGGGTCACATGATTCCCTTTTGCCACTTTCTGAAAAGCAAAGTCAATGGAGAAGCCAGATTCACTTAACAACCGGGTTACTAACTTACCAACTGCAGTGATTCACTTAACCACGACAAGAAAGATTGTAGGGCATATGGCCAAGGAGTTCCTTTTAAGATTCTGTATCCTCAGCCTTCTTTTTATCTATTGCGATATATTTTGGGTCTTGTGAATAGTGTATTGCAGGGGTGTCAAACTCAATTTCACTGAGGGCCACATCAGGGCTGTGGTTGAACTGGGGGGGGCTGACTGGGTGGGTGTGACCAACTGGGTAGGAGTGGCCCTCTTGTCTGTTAGGAAGCTTATGATCCACTTACAAATGTGTTCAGGTACCGCTAGTTGGTTTAATTTACTTAGAAGAGTGTCTGGAATGATGGTATTGAATGCTGAACTGAAGTCTACAAAGAGGACCCTTGCTTAGGTATTTGGAGATTCAAGGTGTTGTAGGATGTAGTGCAGAGCCATGTTAACAGCATCATCTGTCAATCTATTTGCTTGGTATGCAAACTGCATGGGATCTAACAGCGGATCCATGATGGTTTTCAGCTTGGGACAGCACAAGCCTTTCAAAGATTTGCATAACTACAGATGTTAGAGCAACTGGTCTGTAGTCATTCAGTTCCCTGATGGAGGGCTTCTTTGGCACTGGGATGATGGTAGAACATTTGAAGCAGGAAGGAACATTGCACATCTCTAGTGATCTACTGAAGATTCAGGTGAAGATGGGGGCCAATTGGTCAGCACAAACTCCCCAAACTGTTGGCATGTTTCCTCTTTGCATTGGGTAGCCTGGGCTGAAGCACGCTGCCCTGATGTTTCCTCTTCGCATTGGGTAGATCAGGATAGCGGGCCAGCCTCTTACATCTTCCAGGATGAAAGTCTTCTTCAGTTTCTTGGTATGGAGCTCACCATTTTCTGTCCCTGACTCTCAACAGAGTCATTTTTTTTAATACTGTAAATAAAACTATACCAAAACACAATTATAAACTAAATGTTACAATTAAATATCTGTACATGTAATATTACAGGCTATTTAAGGCAGGGGTCCCCAACCACCGGTCCGCGGACCGGTACCAGTCCGTGGAACAAGTCCTACCGGGCCGCTGGTTTGCTGGGTGCCGCCATCTTTTTTTGATGAAAAAGTGCTTCCGGTGAGGTCACCGGAAGCACTTTTTAATCAAAAAAAGATGGCGGCGTCCAGCTGATGCCAGTACCGGGCCGCGGCGCCCAGCTGATGCCGGTACCGGGCCGCGGCATACAAAAGGTTGGGGATCACTGATTTAAGGTTAGAAATTTTAGTGATTTCACTTCGTTAAATATCAGATCTTCCTGGTTTCTGGTTGCTGAAGGTACAACTGCATATCAGGATTCATACACTGTGCATTCAGAAAGTATTCAGACTCCTTTCACTTTTGTCAATTTTATTGTGCTGCAGCCTGATTCTACAGTTGTTGAAATCCCCCCCCCTCATTACTGTACACTAAGTACCCCATAATGACAAAATGAAAACAGAACTTTAAAAATGTCTGTAAATTTATAAAAAAATAAAAAACTGAAATAACACATTGGCTTAAGTATTCTATATTCTTTTGCTAATTATCAAGAGAAAATTCACTTCATTCTGTGTATTGGAATCTCTTTGCCTTGTAACTTGTCCTAACAATAGATTAACAAGAATTCTGTTAGTATCTGATAACAAATAGCAGAATATGTTTCCTCCCTACCTCACCATATATAGAGGTTATTGAATCTTTAGCAAACATGCAAATACCTGCCCATTCATGAAAGGAATGTGACTTAATTCTGTCTTTAATTAACCTCCACTTTAAAAAAGAAAGATGATAAAACATAAAATGCTGCAACTATAAATCATATCTGAGAAAATTAATTGCTATCAGGTAGCTCTTGAAATACTTCAAGTGTGTGGCAGAGCAAGTAAAACTTTTTTCTTCGAATCATTAAAACTATGCATCTTGTGCTTTCTTACTAGGAAAACAGCTATGCAACTTTACAAAAGATCTGGCTTCTTTAGCAGTTTGAAGAAAAATGCTGTTTTACACTTAACGTATATTAGAAGTTCTTCTTTCATGTGTTTAAATAACCTTGTATTTTAATATCTATAATTTTAAAGTGAATATATACTTCAGATGCAAGTATGAAGTATACCAAACATCAAAATCTGCAATGAAGAAAAGTATTCATTAAAATATCAGATTTTGTTTTAATTATTTGCTGAAAATAGTGTTAGAACAAACACAGCTGACTTTTTAAGATATTTTTAGCTTTATAAAAGAGGAAGTGGGAGAATTTTTAAAATTAAGGACTGTTTCCTAAGTAATTAAGAGGTTGAAGTATTCCTGGAAGTAATTTCATGAAAACCCGAAAACATTTTGTGATTGGGGTACAAGTTCAGTGTACAGATTGGGAGGAGGGGTAACTTAGCCATGCATCTAATGTTTATCTGAGTCATGTGGGTAAGATAGGCGATATAGAAATTTGATGAATAAATTAATTAATAAAAATGCCTATGGCGTCTCTATTTCTCCTAGTATGGTTTTAGATGTAGCTCTGAATTTCTCCACCTCTGCTTAAGTTACAATATGTGCAGATCTGCATAATTTCATCTATGTTTTGTGACTAGAAAGTTACTTTTTGTTTTCTGTGTTGTAATTAAAAAGAAAAAGCTATGTCTGTTAAGTGCTGATATTTGAATACAACTTGCTGGATGATGGAAATATAAGTATATCGTCTACTTATGCAATCTACAACCAGAGAAGGGAGATAGCATGATGAACTGAAGGTGCAATTGAACTCTGCAACAGAAGGGGCTTTATTTCAGGTAACAAAATATTTTGGTTAATTGTTATATGAGTCAAAAGAGAAACAGTTGAATGTCAGGAAAAGGGAGGATTCTGCCTTCAAAAAGTCACAAGATGGAGGGGGAAACATACTTGTTCCTTTTAGATAAGTCTGCAAAAGAAGAAAAGACTGCTAAATTCTTTCTTCTTAAAATAGTTAAAATAGGCTTCCACTGTTGTAGTTGTTCCAACTTTGCCTGTTCTACAGATCTTCAGTTCTAATTTATAAGAAAGTGATCCTGTCTCTCACCAATCATAAGTGGGTGAAATGAAAACAGTGCCAATTCTGTAGAGCAAACTTGCATTATAAATATGAAACTATTCCATGCAATATATTTAGAAATGTGAATGGACTTCATTCGCTTTATGATTTTGAGAGACAGGGACAAAGACAGGGACACACAGAGAGATAAATTATGTGAATTTTACACAGAGTGAATCCATAATTGTGATTAACTAGCGATGACAAAGAAAAAAGCAAAACAGTGCGCTCTGCATCAAAATAAGTATTAATTTGAAAAGTCTGATCAAAACTTTGCTTTTGTTTCATTGATTTATTTTAGAAGAATTTTTGTCAGACTATATAAATAGCACTGGGTGAATTTATTTGGCTGCCTTAATGTACACTTGTTTCTGTTGTATTACTTCATTTATTATTCAGAGAGAATAAAACCAAATGAGTAGGTTTACGCATTGGCACCTATTACAAATCACAGTGAGGTCAACATGACAATAATTATGCATCATGACTTAATCACTCACAAACATAGTTATATCATCTACATCATAATACCTGATTCAAGTTGCCTCATTATCGTGATGACATCATGGAACATATGTTGTCATTTGTCCTCCCCCACCCCCACCTCACAAACATTGAATACATTCACATAATAAAATGTGAATCTAAATATTTCTGTCCGTAGTGTTTATTTGCCTTTTTTTTTTTTTTTGCTTTTGGTGCTAAATGTTGCTATGTGTGTCCTTTTGTACATGAGGGGAGGACAAAGAATAAAAACTTTAGTGAAGATTTCATAAAGCCCAACTCGGCTCAAACCAATATAATGATATACATTCTATTGTCTGGTTTTCTTTTCCCTGTTCTGCATTCTTGAGTGAATTCCTTTTTCTAGGCCTCCTTTCAATATTTTCAGAATATTTAACTTCCTTATTGCAATCTTAAACCTTCAACCTTTACTCATAGTATTTCTGTTACCTCTTCAGCAAAGGTTGGCTAGTATTCCTTCTCAGTCTTTTGAAACAAAATAGTGTTATTGTTCTGCTTTTTCCCCACAGAACATCAATGAAAATTCTTGAAGGCTTATTATATTAGTAATAATAAAGATCTATTGTGCCATTTTAGTCCAGCACCGTTACTATCATAAGGAAAGAAATAAAGCTAGACTAGCACAGGCTGAAAAGCTCTCTTTATTCATAGGGATTTAAAGCAATACAGTAGGTAACAAAGGAAAAATATCTACTTACTCTACAGTACTTACTACAGGTTAGCATAAAATGAGTAAAAGAATAATATGTTTTCTTCGGAATAGAAGATAAATTACTACTTTTATATGCATGTGATTAAAAGTATATTGCAATAATTGATTTTGACCTGGTTAAGTAATTTACACTTTGGTTTATGGAAAGCTGCTATAAGAAGAATAGTATTGGAAATTGATTAATGGGACCTGCATGTAAATATTGCTGAACATTTAAATATGTATTAAGTTAGTTTTCATTTTTCTCGTCACTTTTAGACTACAATAAATATATTGCAGATATTTCATATGTTTTATGTTTCAGGAAAACAAAGGGCTATAGCTTCTGGAAAAGCCTATGACTTTTTGTTAGTTCCGTTCAGGTTGAATTAATATATGTCATTTACTAATAGCATAAAAAGCAATATTTTTCTTTTAATTCATAGCCTGACTATAAAATACAGTTCTGTTTCTAGAAATATTTATCTGCTAGGTGATCAGGAAAGCATGTTTTCCAAGATAAGATTTAGCAAGATTTACTTGAGATGCTTTAATATGTACACTTCTTCTGTATGATTTTAGACACAATTCTTAACCTTGTAATTCTAAAAGAGAAAAATGAGGATGTGCCAAAAGTTCATATCCATGAAATTCCATGCAGGATTTCAATTTAATCTCTAGTTTTCATAGAATATGGTAGTTATTTTATATTTAAAACTTACAGCAACCTGAATACCTTTAAAAATTCTTTTAAATGTATTTTTAAAAGGGAATTGAATTATGAGATGCACAAAACAGTTGGTCAGCAGGAAGTAATGTTAAACGAGAAAACAAGAAAACTAAGGTTACACTTACAGTAAAGAATATTAGGTCATATAAGTATCAGTTATATTCTAACACCAATTGCATTGCTTCTTTTTTTCACCTCCAACATGGCACACCATTGCTGACTATGCTTGTGGAGGCTAGCCAGAACCCATTTATGCATGAGGATGAATGTTCTGACATCATGCTCCCTAGAACGGATTTGCTGGCTATTGCATGATTTTAGTGGTCTTTTTGTTGTCTAGCCACAACTTCTGTCATTCTCTTTGAGTTCAGTATAGTAACTTTTATGTGAATCAAACTGGAAAGGTATCTACCCAAACAACATTGGTATTATTTAGCTCGTTAAGTTAAACACTAAATGAAAATACGCTTCATCCCATGAATTTAAAGAAAATTATTCATATTGAGGTTATCTCAAATTCTTTTCTAAATTGAAGGATCAAATGTACTACTGAAGGTTTTCAAGTACTTTCCAAAGCCTGATAAAACTTACTTTAGTCAATGATGGATATATACAAAGATGGCCATGTTAGAAGAAATCTAATGTAGCTAGTAAAATGATTTAGTTTCCAAAAATCGCAATAGGTATGTTGTGTTGACAGTTGGGTTTCTAGTAAAACGGCTACAAAATGTCTCACTGATGACCACTTAATCCTGTTATTCTTGGCTTTATACCTTATAGGCTGTATTGTGATATGTGATAATCCAGCAGTATTGAATTTACAAAATTTCTGCTGTGCAAATTCCACTAAGCCTGTAAAATAGGAATTGCATAAATATATGAATTCATGGTATGAAGGGATTCTCAAATGTTGTGGCCTCCAGAACAATAATTTGTTTCAATCCTTCCATGAATGTAACTGTCAGACTGTGTTTGATGGGGTTCTTGCTCTGCTTTGCACTGTCCTCTACTCACCTCGCCTCGCTTCCTCTCCCCCCTCTGCTCCAGCAATAGCTCCTACCACAACCTAATATATTCCTCAGTGCTGTCCAAGATATCTAAGCAAAACTGAAATGCTTTTGCTAGTGGCATCTTTTCTCTTTCTTTTCTTTCTCGGTCTCTTCCTCAGTAGTGTCGTGGTGGGCTGGTTCAGTTCAGATCTTTCATTATAAGGTGCCGTGATAAGGGAAAAAGTTCAGGCTGCCTGGAGTAGATTTATAGGTTCAGTGCCAGCACCCGTATGAAATCTATAAAGAGTCATCCCTTGAAAGAGACTAGACTAGAATATTTTTGGGGTGCTATTGTAGGAGCCATTGTTGTGAATACAAAGGGTATCAAAAGAAAAGAACAGCCTTTGGATTTCATGGATAACCAGTTTAGTGTCAGCAGCTTATTGAAAGCTGCCAACATCCAAGAATAGTGAAGCCAACTACCCTTCTTTCCTTTCCATTCTTCTCGATCTAAGAAAGTTTGATTTTCACTATTATTCCATCTAGCTCAATACTATACAGGTAGTCCTCAACTTACCACCATTCATTTAGTAACAGTTCAAGGTTACAATGGCACTGAAAAAGTTACAACTGGTCCTTGCACTTATGACCATAACAGCAACCCCATGATCACCTGATCAAAATTCAGGTACTTGGCAACTGGCATGTATTTACACCTGATCAAAATTCAGGTACTTGGCAACTGGCATGTATTTACAATAGTTACAACACCCTTGGATCACATGATCACCATTTGTGATCTTCCTGTCTTATGGCAAACAAAGTCAATGAGGGAAGCTGGATTTGCTCAGCAACCACATGATTCAAGTAAAATCAGCTGTGACTTTACTAAACTGCCTTGCAACCAAAATTCTGGTCCCAGTTGTAAGTTTAGAACTACCTATAGTCTGTACCTATTCATGTATTTAAACTGACTTTTCTGAAGCTCAGTGTGGTGATAGCATCATTTAAACTCATATACCCTGTGTCTGAAATGTAAACCTGCTGTGTGTTATTTCTTAGATGATATAGCCTAAAATGGTATCATCTATCTATCTCTATCTCTTCTCTATCTATATATAAAAGCAAAATACCACTCACACAGTAAAAGCCTACAAACTATGTTCCTCTTGGCTTCTAGGTGCTCACTAACAAAGGACTTTTTGAAATGATCATCAGAGCATTTAGAGTATTTCCATTATTATTATTATTATTATTATTATTATTATTATTATTATTATTATTATTATTATTATTATTACTATTACTATTACTATTATTACTATTATTATTATTATTATCCCGCTCTGATGCTAAGGAGTTATACTCCCCCTCCCCACCTGAAAAGAAATCTGTTCCAAATGCAAAACACAAGCAGAGGAGAGGAGTTTTAGTTTCACAGCACCAAGCAACTTTAGTACAGAACAGTTAAAATAAGCCACGCCCAGGCTCCTTGCTGTCTCCTTGCTTACACAGCAAATACTTTCAGTTTCCAAACAGCCCTTAACTCTCTCACACACTGACAGGATGCTAGCCAGATGAATACCGATGGATGCTGGTAGGCAGAGGCAAAATCCCCCCCCCCCTATTTTCCTCCCCAAATACTAAGCCCAACCATCATAGTTTCGTAGCGAAGCCACGGGTATTGAGCTAGTGTATACGAAGTGAAGAGATCTGAATGGGGTGTGAATTGGATTGTTTGAAAACTCTTAGAAAATGGTCTGGATTATTTAGAATATGATACTACCGGTACATTTATTTTCTTTTTAAGTACAAGTCAACTTACAACCACAATTGAGTCCAAAATTTATATTGTGAAATAAAAAAATGTGTTTAGTGAGTTTTGCCCCATTTTCTTGCCACATTTCATAAGTGAATCACTGCAGTTGTTAAATTAGTAATAAACTTATTAAGTGAATCTGGTTTCCCCATTGACTTCACTTGTCAGACAGTTGCAAAAGGGGATCACGTGACCCTGGGACACTGCAACCGTCATAAATATGAGTCAGTTCCCAAGCATCCAGATTTTATCCCCATTACCATAAGGATGCTCCAACTAATAAGTGTGAGAAATGCTCATGAGTCACTTTTTTCAGTGCCATTGTAACTTCCAACAGGCACTAAACGAACTGTTGTAAGTCAAGGACTATCTGTATACAGGAGGATTCATTTAGGAAAAATCATGTTTGCAACCACATGAGTAACACTTGATCTCAAGTTCTCCATTTGGTCAATAGCTTTGTTAGACCAAAATAAAATCATAAAATAAATGAAGGCTTTGAGGATTTCCAGAACACTCCACCATGAGCAATTTGCCTTGTGATGATACTTCATAATAAGCCTGGATCAAACATTCAAGTAAAAAGTCTTGACGAATCTTGAGAAGAAACCTGTCTTTTGGATCCCTTTCCATTCTGAAGTGATACATACTTAATATAGAAAGATTTTTTGCGTCTTCTTTTTTCTCCATATAAAATTATCCTGATTTGGGAAATTGTGAAGAAATAAAAGCCAAGCAAATATTGTTTTTGCCAATCCTCTATCTATACAAATTAATAGCGTACAGCATAGTGAAAGGAAATTCTTACTTATTTTACTTTATTAATTAGCCCTTGGGCCATATCAAAGTACAGAGTTTCAGACACAATTCATTACTAAAAGATAGGAAATTCAATATTTGATGGTGTGAAAGACAGGGAATGTTGCTGGTTCCATCCCCTAGGGCGGATGTTGGCAACCTGCGGCTCCCGAGCTGCACGCAGCTCTCTGGGCCCTCTGCTGTGCCTCCACTGGCTGGCCCCGCTCCTCGCACTCCTCTCCCAGTCACAACTCACTTGGCCTGAGAAGGTAAGGGTGACGGGGGATGGAGAAGCAGCCAGGGCTGATTCTCCGGCGCCTCACTCTTCCTGTAGCTTCTTTTGGCCCTTGTTGGTGCTTGGGAGACACACAACCTGCTCTCTGCCCTGAGACACTGGCCCGCCCCAGCTGCGACCAATGCCAGCCTTGCTAACACTGGTGGGGTGGAAATGGGATCTGGGAGGAAGGGATGACAGAAAGAGGGATGGGCCTGCAGCGCCTAGCCGTGGCTTTAAGAAGCTCAGGGCAGTGGGAAAAGGGGACTGACCCCGCTGAACCTCACACACCCACCTCAGGGGTCACGCTTGGAGAAAGCCGAAGTGCCCTCACTAAAGACGCTTAGCAGCCAGTCAACCCACCTGCCCCACGCGCCTTTGCTGTGCTTTGGCCACGCCCAGGCCAAAGGGCTTGAGGATCTCTCTGCCTGAGGATCTACCCACTCCGTGTGTGCCCTCCTGGCCCCACCACAGCTGGCCGGGGGGGTCACGAGTGGAGGGGGAGGAGGACGGTATATGGAGCCTTAGTGTAGCGAAGCAGCCCTGTACTTGCCTTCACGCAATATTTATGCTCAAGGCAGCCTTCACCTCCTGCCACTTCAGGCTAGAGTTTGCATCCTCTGCGCTTAGCTGAAGAGCTGCACGGGGGGGGGGGGGGGAGACACGGCAAGGCGATGGCCGTAGCCTTAGTGCAGGAGTCAAACGGTCTTGTACTTGCCTTGGCACCACATTTACGCTCAAGGCAGCCCTCGCCTCTGCCGCTTCAGGCTCAGAGGTGTAAGCTGTGTCCTGTTGCTAGGGGCGAGTGGGGCAGGATCCCATTGTGGCTCCACAATGTAATGGGCTCCAGGAGGAGGAGGGGACCCCATCTCCCCCATTGTGAAGCGCGCTAAAGTTCACTGTGCTGTGCAAAACACTCTAAAAGTGCCTCATGGCCTGCCCAATGCTTCATCAGAATCAGAAAGAGGGAAAAGAGAAATGGAGAAGTGGGAGAGAGAGACACACACAGAGAGGGGGAGAGACATAGATAGAGACACAAAGAGGGAGTGATATAGACGGGGGAGAGAGACATAGAGAGACATACAGAGGGGGAAGGGGAAGATAGTGTGATGACCAGGGGTGTCCCACAAATGTAACAAAAACCAAAACGTAAATAAATGTTCTTTAATGCCTTTGACTTGGCTTCACTGTTCAATTGTTCACAGTTGGAGATTAAGCTCTTTCCAAAATAACATTCCAAATGAAAGAAATACTGTCCAACTCAAAGAGCAGATAAACGAGGCAATAAAAAAACTGAAAACAAACCGCACTGAAGAAAGTTCCATGACAGACCAGGATAATTAATTACAAACTTCAAGAACCAGGTATAGTCCGTTGGAAGAAGGCCAACCAAGATAAAACTCATCCAGGAATAAAACACTCTTTGTTTCCAGCGTTTGCTAGCACACAGGTCCAAACTCTTATGCAGTTCTCACACCTGCATCCCATGAAGAGGATCAAGGCTCTCTCCTCCCGGGGAGACCATGTCTCTCCCTTATCCTCTCCTCCCTGCGTTCCCTAGGATGGATAGGGGATGGGCCTGGGTCCTCTGACTGCTCAGCCGGCCTCTGCCCTTCCCCAGCCTCCTCCACCACCTCTGGAGCCACACTCCCACTCCCTGTTGGCTGTTCCTCCTCTCCCTCAGAGTCAGTCTCCACCAGCGGCATGACAGATAGGGAGAGTGGTAGAGAGACATACAGAGAGAGGAAAAGAGAGACATAGACTCAGGGAGAGAGGGGTCGCGCAGGGGTCGGGAGGAGTTGCGGGCGCATTGCATCATGACTGCAGGCATAGAAGCGTCCGCGCAGATGCGAGCGCACTTTTGGCACGCAACATGGAAAAGGTTAGCCATCACTGATATAGACAGAGATACAGAGAGAGAGGGAGAGAGACATAGAGAGGGATAGAGAGGTAGAAAGAGAGAGAGAAAGAGAGATGTCAAAAGAGTTTTGTGGCTCTCGTTCTCTGCCCTAATGACTGGCTGGGTGAGCGTGGCTAGAGGGTCATGTGACTGGGAGTGAGTGACGTCAAGTTGGCCACCCAGGTTTTGTGGCTCCCGGTGTTTGGGAAACGGGTCCAAATGGCTCTTCGAGTGTTTTAAGGTTGCAGACCTGCTCTAGGGATATAAACCTAGTGGGACATAGAAAAAGGGCCTTCTTTGTGGTGGCCCCCTCCCTCTGGAACATTATCCCCACAGAGATTAGGATGGCCTCCACTCTAGCACTCCTCCGAAAGGTGCTGAAGATCTGATTCTGCCAGTGGGCCTGGGCCCCCCCCAAGTGGGATGGAGCCCATTAAATGGCTCGTGTAAGGTGCTATCGCCGGGGCGGAGGATGGGGGGGTGATTTTAATAAAGAAACCTATTATATGACTTTTATTGGTTTTATTGTTTTTATATGAGATTTTATATTCTGTAAGTCGCCTTGAGTCACATGTGCAAATATAAATAAATGCAGGGGACATAACAGCCTCAGTATATCAAATATTTTTTGCTCTTTTCTCCCAATTTATATGTATTCGTTTTAAAAACTGTCTGGATCCAAATAAATAGCTGTGCAAGTTGAATGTGAAACTATCCCATTAAACTCCTCTTTGCAGAAATTTTTCAAAATAACTAGTAATAGAGAATAGGGAAATCCAGTAAAAGCTTAGGTGAATTTTGAGATAAACAGATAAATATCTTGCTGGGAAACATAGTTTATATGCAAGCTACTGTAACTTTAAGCACATTAAATAAAGCATAATAAAAAGAATATTACTTTAGAAATAAAGTTTTTGAAGCTTGGTTTCATATTTCTAGATTATCAAAGATGCTTTTAAATTTATTTTTGTGAACAATTGGTAGCAATGCTCTTTCTGTATCAGTAACAATACTATTTATCCATAACTAAATAATACTTTGCACAAAATCCTGTAAACAGCATATGGTTGTCACGTTCCTTTTAGGTGGCATAATTGTTTCTCTCTAAAGAAACTAAATTTAGATTAGCAACTGTGTCTAAGTATCAATAGAACAATGTTTTGGTTTAACTTGTAGTATAATGTTGAAAACTGATGAAAACCCCACTGTTTTAACCACAATTCATGTATTATTCACGTCAGAGGTTTGAAATATCACTCTACTCATGAGTCTTTTGACTTTGAAAACCACATCAAAATGAATAAAAAGAAAGAAATGTGCTAGATTAAGACTTCATCAGCTTGTTAGAGGGTTCAAATTTGTTTTCTGCCTGTCTGTATAGCTAAAGGCTTATCTATAGTGACTTATTGCTGTAAGCATTTTAAAAAGTGAACTAATCTTGAGAAAATAAATCAAACAATACATATAAAAACATATTACTCAGGAAATGGAATAACAATATTCCTGAATATACTTAAAATGCCATAGGGTTAGAATCAAATCAATAAAATATCCAATACAAAATATAAAAAAGAGTGTCTATCTGTCAATGTTGAGTGTTTAATATATTCTATGTTATTAATCTTCAGTGTGTTAATTTATATTGTTATAGTGCTGTTAAGGAAATGTATAATGAATAAAGTTTTTTAAATAAAACAAATATAAATTAGATGCTTATATATTCATAAAGTAAATGCTAATTGTATTATTAACTGCTTCATTTAAAGCTGAAATAGAAATCATTTATAGAATATTATTTTGTGAGTTGTTTTGAATTTCATTTTCTTGAGATAAAACAAAAGGGCTGTCAATTCCCTGAGACTATTGGAAGTAGATTAGCAAGTAATGAGCATTTTCTAATTAATCTAATAATATTTCAGTCGAGATTCTTGGCTTCTTACCTAACAAGTTTGAATCTCTAGAGATGAAAATGTTATAAAAATATTAGAATGTGCTGAGATGGATAGATTAACACTTAAAATAAAAAAAAGGAAAAAACACAGTATTTCTTGACATGGGACTTGTTTTATCAATGGTTAACAAATAGAATCAGATTAGAATTTAGTAAGATCTAAAAGATAATAACCTTTGTATTGAAAATTTTGTAAGATAGATAAACATTTTGTGATTATTACTAATATGTTTATTATGCTTACTATTATGATTTATGTTGATTAATATTGTATTTCTACTTAAAACTAATAGTGTCCAGTCAACAGGCTGTTCAGATTAATATGAAATTTTTATGTGATATAAAAGGAAAATGTATTAATAAAACATATATTAAAAAAACAAGTTTGAATCTGAAACAAGAAATGCTGGCCTTGTGAGGATGACAGTGTCTTAGTTATAACATAATACTACCGTGTTTCTCATATAATAAGGCCGGGTCTTATTTTTTTTTGAGCCCTGAAAAAATGGCTAGGCTGTCTTTTCGGGGGTGACTTAATTCCCCCCCTTGCATCTTCGGGCGGGCGGCGATGGCTTGGATGTTGACCTCGGCGTTGGTGGGGCACTTAGTATTGGGGTCAACGCAGGTAGCACCATATCCGGGTGTGCAACAAAAGTACTTCCTAACGGCAAGCCCCCCCCCACCATCCCCCCCATTTCGCATGTTTTAATCTAGGCCTTAATTTGGGGGGAGGGGCTTAATTTCATTTCATGCCTATAAAACATGCTGGGACTTCCTATTGGGGGCGGCCATATTGTTGGAGAAACAGGGTAAGTAAAACAAGATATGCCATGTTCTGTTATATAAATCTTTTTAAAGATGTGTAATATAATGTATTGGGAAGATGTACAAAAACTTTTTTTTAAAAGAATTAAAGCAGTCATGAATTTTCTCGGACTTGCATAGTTGCTTGCATAAGCTGTTTCTCTCTGGATCCACATGTGGCTATAGTTATGTACTGCTTTAACGATTTGAAGAGAAGTGCTTTATGTTACCTCAAGTACATTATGAAGCTCTTTTTGAAGAAAGTTTTGCATACCCGATGAATTGCTATTGCTGGCAGGAAGGGCCAGGCAAAAGTGACTGATTAAATTTCTCTAGCAAACCTATACAGTTGATCTTGGCTTCAGCTCATTATGATTTTCAAAAATAGTTAATATTTGTAAGCAGTGTTCTCATAAAATATTTAAAATTATAGCAGGAATAACTGGAATGTTGACATATTGTTTCAGAATGAATTAGTGCTGGGTTTTTTTGTATTTTTTTGCCCTAACCCTAGTATCATTAATTCTACATCTTGGGAAATGCCTGTTTTTCTAGAAGCGTAGTCTTAAATGAAGATTCCTGAGCAAACCATTTCTATTATAATTGCCTATTTTAGAAATGATAAAACAATTATTTTAACCCAAGGTTCCTTCTTTGCTTTTGCTTTCCCTAAATCCATTTCATTCAGTCTTGTGTCATTTTAGTCTTCTGTCATTTTAGGCCCGAGGGCAGTATTTGATTTTGTATTATGTAAGCTGCTCTAGAAGCTTTTTACCCTGAATTTATGGTATAAATGCTTTGAATAAATAATATAGCTTAGACAAACAGTTCTGTTGATTAATCATGTGATAGTAAATCTTTCTTAAAATGTCTTTTGACAGGATAAATCTGCAATTATGAACCTTTTTGCTACTTCTCCCTTTGGAATTATATTATTCCTGTCTACCTTGGTACAGAAGAGCAATGGCAAATGTAAAGAAGCAGGTTCAAAGCCAGAGATGAATTTGAGCATCCAGTACCAACTTCCACATTTCATTGCAGAAACCCCGATACAAAATATTATTCTCTACAAACAGCACTTGTATGTAGGTGCAGTCAATAAAATCTATGTCTTAAATGAAACTCTTCAGAACGTCTATGAATACAAGACTGGACCTGTTCTGGAGAATCCAAGTTGTGCTCCATGTGATGAGTGTAAGCCTAAAGGAAATCAATCTGATATTTGGACAGATAACATTAACATGGCTCTGCTCTTGGAAACATACTATGATCATCATCTTATCAGCTGTGGTAGTGTAGCCAAAGGAACCTGTCAACGCCATGTCATTTATCCTGATAATCCTGCTGACATTGGAAGTAGAGTACACTGCATGTATTCCAAACTGATGGATGAGGAGTCAGATGAGTGTCCTGACTGTGTTGTAAGCCCCTTAGGAACCAAAATTCTGGTGGCAGAAAAAGAAAGATTTGTATACTTCTATGTTGGCAATACTGTAAGTAATTCACCCCAGCAGGACCATTTACTTCATTCAATATCTGTTCGAAGATTAAAAGAAACTCTGGATGGATTTGAGTTCCTCACGGCTTATTCTTACATTGACATTCTTCCAGAATTCAGGGATTCATACCCCATCAAGTACGTTCATGCATTCGAAAAGGACCATTTTGTGTACTTCCTTACTGTTCAAAGAGAATCTCTTGACTCCCAAGCTTTTCATACAAGGATTATACGGTTTTGTTCTTTTGATTCTGAGTTGCATTCATACGTGGAAATGCCCCTTGAATGCATTTACACTGAAAAACGTAAGAAGAGGTCAGCTAAGAGGTCAAATGAGGTTTTTAATATTTTACAAGCTGCATATATTGGTAAGCCAGGTGCAACCTTAGCCCAGCAAATGGGCCTTAATATAAATGATGATATTTTATTTGGGGCTTTTGCCCAGAGTAAACCAGACTCTTCAAACCCGACTCCTAAATCTGCTGTTTGTGCAGTTTCTATCAAAACCATTAATGAATTCTTTGGCAAGATTGTAGACAAGCAAAACATGAAATGTCTGCAGCATCTCTATAAGAACACCAACAAATACTGTCTGAACAAGGTAAGTACGGAGTATATTATAGGATGTTAATTATGTAACACTGTCTAATTCTCACTGAATGTTCCAGTATTGAATATGTGACTATGCTGATTTTAATAATGAATAGTAGCTATTATCTTGGACTATGCTTTGGCTTTGATCCAGGACGTCTTAATGTGCTTCAATTTCACTCTTAATGCTAGTTACTGCCAGTTGTGATTTATATTCACATAAAATAGTTGTTGTAAGTGTTGGATATAAAAGTCATTGAAAGATGCATTCAGAAATTAGAGTTTGCATTAGAGATAGTATAAACCTAAGCCCTGTTTTCTTCTAATCAGAAGGAAACTGGGCAGTGTTGAGAACACAAGCGACAAGAACTCTACTCAGCTTTAATAAAGCCAAGTGCCATACATTCACAAAGTGATTCTGTTCCTGCATAATCTTTCAGTTAAACCACAAGAAGATGAATCACAAGTAGATGAATATAACATACTTCATTCAAACTAAATATGAATGATTTGAAGTTAAAAGCACTTAAATTAAACAGTACGTGAATTAAATATAATGGCTATTTAGAAATGAAATAAATGGTTATTTACACTTTCTAGGATTTTTAAAATGAAATATATACAGCTTTGTATCTTTCTTTAGTGCTTAGTTCAACTTTTTTTATTGTCCTCAAATCTTAGTTTCTTTTACTCATTTTTCTTCTGAAGATATTCAACATTTCAACCTGAATATTCTTCCATAATCATAGATTATTGTTTAGTCTTTTCCTGTTGTATTACTATGAATATGATTTTAAAAATATTTTTAAAATGATCTATACCAGCTTAATAATTTTTTCACAAAGTATTTCAGTAAATATATTGACAGAATCATTGGTGAGTTTCTATTTGCTGGAAAAATATTTGTCCTTGGAGAACATTTCAAAGATGCCAGTATTGAATGCATTAGGATATTAAAAAGTATGATTATCTAATCAACAATACATAATTTCAAGATATGTGTTTAAATCAGAGAGAGGTATGCAGGCTAATAATATAGAAGATGGGTACAGATGTGGTATCAAGTAATTAAAATCTGTTATCCTTTTCCAATCTTTTCATTAAAAAAAAAATACTGATTTTTCTGCAGGTACAGATAGTCTCCACTTAACAAGCATTCAACATTCATTCAAAGTTATAAAGTGCTGAATGAGTAGTAATTATCACTGGTCCTCGGAATAATGGTTTTTGGCTTTACCCAGGCATGTGCTAAAAAGGACGGCACTTGGCAGCCTGCTCATACTTACCACAGCAGCACTACTTCATCTCCCCCAGCCACCTTTTTCCTCCCCATCTCATTTGGCTGCTCTGTACCCTGCCACCCCTGCCCCGCTGATCCAGTCTTCTGCTTCTCCTGCCATTCCTAGCTGATCTTGCAAAGCTGCATGAAGGCCCAGTAGGTGCCTTAGCTGAGTCAGCCTTGTTGGAAAAAGATGGCCAATATCAGATAGCAAAGTGCAGGGCTATGTAAAGGGAGGAGATGGGGAGATGAGCAGGTGCGGTGAGTTAAAGCAAAAGGTGAGTGTGGCAGGGCAGGAGAAGCAGCAGGTCCTCTCTCAACTGTAGCAATTGGAACTGCTGCTCCTGCCATTTCTAAGCGGTGTGATTATGTGATAGTTCATCTAATAACCATTTTACGTAGCAACAGAAATTTCAGTTTCCAATTAGGGTTGTTAAGCAAGAACTACCGTGTTTCTCATATAATAAGGCCGGGTCATTTTTTTTTTTTTTTTTTTGAGCCCTGAAAAAATGGCTAGGCTGTCTTTTCAGGGGTGACTTAATTCCCCCCCCCCTTGCATCTTTGGGCGGGCGGGCGGCGACGGCTTGGATGTTGACCTCGGCGTTGGTGGGGCACTTTGTATCGGGGTCAATGCAGGCAGCACCATATCCGGGTGTGCAACAAAAGTACTTCCTAACAGCAAGCCCCCCCACCATTCCCCCCCATTTTGCATGTTTTAATATAGGCCTTAATTTGGGGGGGAGGGGCTTAATTTCATTTCATGCCTATAAAACATGCTGGGACTTCCTATTGGGGGAGGCCGTATTGTTGGAGAAACAGGGTATCTGTATTTGGGGGGTGGGGCAGTACATCAGAAATCTTTCCAAAATTTCTACTGTAAGGCCTCCAAAATATTTAAGTATTTATTTATTTATGTAGAGACCTATCCTATTTCCTGTAACTCTGGAACAATGCAATCATGGCTAATATTCGTGTTCATGGATCAGAAGACAAACAATGAATAAGAAACTTAAGAGCGGCTCAACAACCACCTTACCAACCAGAAAAATAGCCTAGTTTTTAGTGATTTTATGAACATCATCTGTGGGGAAGCTGCACAGATGTTCTGATAGATGGCATTGTTTAATCAAAAAACCTAAATGCACCTGCTCTGCCCGAATAGATGGGCAAAACCTGTCCCGCCTCAAATAGCCAAATCGTATACTGTGGAATTGATAACTAGAAGCTTGACTTTGTACCCAAGAAGCCATCTGGTCACCAGTGCAGTGGACAGAGCAGTGGTATCATACGGCCAAATAAAAAGGGAATGAGATTCAAGGGTTTTGTCATTTTGTCTATTTTAATTTTATTTTCATAGGAATAAGTCTTAAAGAATTTATAGGAAAGAGAAGAGTGAAAACTATTCTGTTTTCACTGAAATTAAAAGAAGGTTGACAAACAATCTTGGAAGGTTTTGAACAATTTATCTGTGGATTGGGGTTTTTGCCACTTTAATGATGCAGAAACTGAAATATAGTAAATCTGGGCAGAAATTCAATTTTAGTCATTTTCAGCATGACTTATTAAAGAATGGTAGTTCTTTCAGTTTGATTCAGTATAGTCCTGTTAAAATTGGGTAATTAAGACTTCTACTTTTGGAAGGAACTGCTCAATTTTTCATCATTTTTGTTTGTTATCTCTTTGCATTGTTTTATTCTATCAAAACATGCTGAATGTGGAAATACAGATAAAGGCAAGAGAAAAAAAAATAGTAGAGTGAAATGAAGAGTCCCCTGAAATCAAATAAAAAGAGACAGTGAAATAAACATACAGTGATATTTATTTATTAAGATGATAGATGAAAGAAATTGAATTATGCTTATTTTCTAATGGGAAGAAGTAATTGCAGCCTTCCATCAGGAAACCAAAGGAGCTTTATTGATCTTTTGTCCTTTGGGTATAGCAACATTTAATAAAGACAAAACAACATCAACATATTTTACAAGTATAAGCTTTTTTCATCTTCTCATAGCAGGTTTTCTGGTCATATGTCTAGACAGTTCTTATCACTTGTTTTAAACAGATTCTCATGTTTAAAAACTTACGCATTACAAATTCATAAAATACAGGGTTGCAGGATTATTTTACATTTTCTTCCAGTTCAATTCCAGTTACTTTCTGGAATATATAACACTGTCTACTGCATTAATATCTACTTTTAACCTTGAAAAAAAATACATTGGGTCAAATTTGAATAGACCTAGGACACAATAGACATAGGACACAAGTAAACTAAGTTTCTACTTGGCTTATTTCTTCTGTAGAGGAAATAACAGTGTCTAAGTTTAATAAGAGTTTCTGGGTGTTTAGAAGGAACAGCTTCAAACTCAATGCTTTTAAATCCATCCAACAGTATTTTTGCAGGCTGGCGGTATAGTTTAGAGACCAGTTTGTTCAATACAAAGTGAAAAGTAAGATTTATAGGCTAGCAACTATATATTACTAAAACCCTCATCATTATGACTTTTAATTGGGAGAAACTGTTAAAGGCCAACAATTTTTTAACCAAGGAACTTCAGATGGATTAATTTGCAGAATGTGACTAAAATCTGGCACCCATGTCTCCTGAAGGAATGACATTTGGGAAAGCTGTGGCTGCTTCAGTGCTACTGGCTGCTGCTTGGCTGCTGCTATGGTCATGTGATTTTCATTTTCAATGTTCCTTGACAGTTTCCCAGCCACTCTCACAATTCCTTGATCCCTCCCCCACCTAGCAGCAGTGACCTAACTACCTTTCCCATAGGTGTCTTGGTTTATCACTGACATCTGATTCACTAAGCTCTTATATATAAAACATTGTACACTAAATCAGTTGATATCCCATCATTATTACTTAGCTTGCCATCCATAACAATGCAAAAATACGTCTAAATTGCACAAAACCAGCTTGGCTTTTGCTTTCAAATGTAAATAGAACCAGCTCATTTTGTTATTCAAAGTTCACTAATTTTATTGATCTACAGTATTTTACCTTTACCTGGGATATTGTATATCATGTTCATTTAGAAGAAAACATCTTAATCAGTATTTCCTTTCTATAATAAATAATAAACAATGTTAACATATGCCTGTACAAGTGATATATGAACATTGCAATGGAAATAATTTTTAATTCTTGCCTTGCTTTCATGAAGATGTAATCATAATCCAAATCAAGATGAGAGGAACTGTGGTAGGATGATAATTGATGTGTATTATCATACTTAATTATTGTAAACTGTCTAGATTTGCCTATGGCAAAATAGGTGGCATTTACATTTACTAAATAAATAAATGTGAATTCCAATCAATTGTGTTGATCAAGAGACAACTTATAAACACATTTAAATGGCTCTGAATCACAACTCCAAACATCCCTCACCATTGGCCACATTTTTCAAGAGTCACATTTTCTCTCATCTTATGCTGTGGTCTGGATTTACTTTACTCCATCCTATTTTTTTTTCCATTCAGTCATGTTGAATTCTGAATACCTGATCCTGCAGTTTTCTTGGCAATTTTTTTTAGTAGTATTTGCCATTGCCTCCTTCCTGAGGTTGAGAGAAAGTAAGTGACTCAAGGTTACCCAACTGGCTTTGTGCCTAACGCAGGACTAGAATTCAGGGTCTCCTGGTTTTTAGCCTGATGTCTTAGACTACAGCAAACTGGCTCTCATTCTACCTTTATACTAGAATACTTCATATAGGAAGTTG